ACTTTCAACTATCTCTGCAAATCTGAAAAAGATAGAATAGAACGTGGCGGATCATAAGCAGAACGCTTGTCACGGAACCCTTCCAGACCGGAAAACCATGACGTCGAAGAAAAAGCTGTGTTTGACGTTATCGCTTTCGTCAAATCAGGATTATCAAATGACGGCCAACCTTAGAGCATTAGCGTTATCAGCTAAGCTTACATGAACTCGCTTCGATTGAACGAAAACAGTAAAGGGAAGCTTCCAGAGAAGCGGGGGATCCTCTGCGTGTCTGTCTCAGAGTTTTTTAATTGCTTCGACACCCAAGTCGCTAGTTATGAGATGACTAAAACAGTCAGCGCTGAGTTAAACTTGATAAAGAAGCAACTTGTGAAACAAATCAGCCATGGACTTATAACAAAATCGGTGCTAACTTAGTTGGGGGGGGACCACGCGGCGGCGCGGCGCTCTGTTCGTCTGCTCCTCCAAGGCTTAGTCCGCCGATGGCGCGTATTTCGAAACTGCCACGTGGCGACGAAATAGTAACTGCCCCTTGGACTAAGCCTTAGAGGAGCAGACGAACAGAGCGCCGCGCCGCCGCGTGGTCCCCCCCCCCCAACTAAGTTAGCACGAATTGTGATTGCTATTGCTGTTTGATTGGTTGTATTTTGACTAGCTTTTTTCTCATAATTCTCATGTTTCCACTTTTCTAAATCGTATAGCCTATCCATCAGGTTTCTCAGATTTTGCACGTCAACAATCGTAACAGATACTCGGAGCTCGATGCCATGACAATTTCTGCGTTATTGATCGACTAAATGGTTACGTAAGCAGGAGAATTTCAATTTCCTGAAAATGGTCCCCATCATATCCACTGATGGCTATTTGAATTCGAGGTAAAGATGACTGCGATATGACCGTGATTTGTATATGGGATCGGATATTAACGCGCGAGACTGAATATCCGTTTAGAAGTAATTGCCGTGCAGCCTCCTCACCTCACATTGTATGGACACTATGAAGCTGATTCCTACTCTTACTATTCTGCTGGTCGTCTTCATAATGTTCGTAGCCAAAACCGAGCAGAGTGATGGTACGTTGATTTTGAAACTCAATTTGATTCTGTTAATCTTGCCTCAAGAAAACCGGCAACGAACATCTGGTGGAGCCATGTACAACTAACCTTGTAATTCACGGCCTTTCACGACTGAAAGAGTTGTAATGATACCAGTCTAAAGGTATGTCAAACAGTCGTTACTCTTGGTGGGTCGTAAACAACAGGCTGTGACATAGTTTCATACGGGATTGGGAGCAAAACAGTCATTCTGCCCACATGAGCAAATTTTTCGTCGCAATGGATGATGCCGTTGACAGAATCTTCACGTAATCATATTCCCCAGATGTTTCATAAGCAGAAATAGCCCTCCTTCAATGCCCCACTGTTTTCAGAATATGATGTCATCTATGATCGCCGATTAAGGCCGATGTCAGACTTTGCGAATCGAGCGATTCGCTAGCGTCTGCGGTCGCGTCGCGGCCAGTGAATCACTCAATTGGCTGGTACCGCAACGCGACCGCGATGCTGGTAGCGAATCGCTCGATTCGCAAAGTCTGACATCGGCTTAGGAAGCCTACCGTGATCACTCCAACGTAAAGCTGCTACCTGATTTCTTCAATCGTTCAATTGATAGAGAACTTTCTAGAAACAGTAGCTATGACTCTAAAAGATCCCTTGCGATCAGCGTTCTAAATGGTCAACGATCGGAACCCCTTTTCAGTTGTTGGGATCTCGGTTTGAGTTAACGAAATGTTTTTTTTTCTTCCTTTTACGATATATTTTATCTTGAGAATGTCAGAAAATTAGGTGGAGAATTTCTTCCGAGAACTTAGATTTCTACCTCTTTGGAGCTGTTTTAGCTTCTTTAGCACTGAATTTGCATTTTGAAATAAAAGTTTCAAAGGAAGAGTTTAGGATTGTATAAGCACAAGAAGGGATCAAGAGAAGTGCAAAATAATGTCACTCGAGATGAGGTAGACTAGTTTTCCTTTTGTTGTTTCAATGCTCCCATCGAGAATTGATTCTTAGTGGGATGCTTGACCGATTAAAATCTACAGACTCATTGATATGTAGCAATGTGATCTCTAATTATTCCTTCCTTTCTTCATGCCATTGGGAGTTTTTCTCCGTGTAGTATTCACCGGAGTCTCGGTCACCAAAAGCAGCAGAGGATCGTATAAGAAAATGCCAACGACGGATGGAGCGCCAAATGTTAGACCTCCGACTTCGCGATAAGGTATCGAGCGTAGCAATACGAGCAAGGACCAAACTGAAAGACGCTGTCATCGAAGCCAGAAAGCGCAAGTGGATTTACGCAAATAAGTTAATGACAAGAGACAGGACGCGATGGGAAGTGCGGCTGATGAATTGGAAGCCCTGTGGAAGCAGATCAGTTGGACGACCACGAGTGCGGTGGGAAGACGATTTCAAGATGTTCGCGGGAGCAGACTGGCAGAACACGTGACGACTTCTGAATGGTTCCAGATCATGGCCCGTTTCTCTGTTTATGTCAGATGAATTAACGGAAGTAAATGTAAATGCAAAATGTAAATGTAAATGTTTTAATGCTCCCGGGACCGCTGACAAACTTTCGCTTCACTTCTTGGTATCGCCCATGTCTTGAAAAATGCGAATATTATACCCAAATTGAGGGAGCGCCCGTGAATAAACCTGCTGGTTAGAGCTCATCGTCGAGTTGTGTTCAAAATCGTTTCAAAACTTAGTGGAGTAATAGGATCGCCAGTTCGGTTTACTCGGAGTAAGGTTGTCGACTGCCGCCCCTGGATCACAATGTTGATAGCAGTTTTAGGAGTGCACTCATCTGTCCGTCCACGTCATCATCATTTATCGGAAAAGGCTACATATGTCGCGTTATGTATGTGAGCCTTTCAAGGGGAAATCAGTATTTTGAGTAGCGGCTGCTGCCGATCGGTACGGTCGCGCCACGTAGCCTGCTCGAAATCCTTCAGCTAGGATTTACTCGTCAACTTGCCTATCAGCACAGGGGAAGGGATCTCGTAATCTGAGGCTTTTTCATCCTTACATTACTGAAAATGGTAGTTAGGGAGTAAAACCATGGGATGTGTCAACGCTATCCACGCTAGCCTGGACTGAGTAAGGGACGTTAAGAATGAGAGAAGGAGCGGCAAATATTGTACTCGTGATTTGTGGGAGGAAAGCACGAGTAGATTTTCTTCGACGTGCAGGTGCAAACTTTTTTCAGTAATTCGATTGGTTACCTGGTTCCGCTTATTGCGATTCAAAATACCTAGTGGCAATAAGCATTTGAGATGAAACGGACGTCATTAATTGTCGTAATTATGAAGATTCACTCTCAGTGCCTACATGCTTTTTACAGTGCCATCTGTTTCCCGACCGCTGCACAGAATATCACGCTCATCACTGCCACTCTCCTCCTTGTTGGTACCGTATCCGCGAGTTGGCAAGCGCTCTTCGATCTCAAGCGACAACACAATGTAAGTGATTTTCAATATTGGAGCGTGAAAGCAAAGAAAATAATTTAAAAAAAATTGCAACATATTTCGCACTCAGTCATCCGCAAAATTCACAAAAGCACTTCAGAAAATTCAATGTCAAATGTTGCTCACCGAGAACAACTGCTAGGTTATGCTAGGTCTTGATATATGTAACAAAGAAGATCTTAAGCGAGGCTTGTTGAAAAGTCACCGCGCGCGATGACGCACGCCGCCTCCCCCCCCCTCTTCTTCGAAGACTCAGTCAGAGTGCAGCATGAGATCAAGGTCAATTGAAACGCTGGAAGAAATTTGAGATCAGGACGGTTCCTCCAGTGAACTGTTTCCAGACCCCCACTTCCCCTTCCTCACCGCCCACAAACAGTCGCGTTTTCAAAGGTGTCGTCGAATCTGCCACCACTTAATAACTCCCCTCACCTTAAAGGAGGAATTCACGATTAGAATGAAGGTCGAAGAAGAAGTAATTGACCTAGTTGAGGGACCCACGGACCTCCTGAGGGTGCGAACTGACGCGCAATTCGCATGAAAAATTTGACCTCGGCGACCTATCATGCCTCAAAGCTGGCGGGTCCGGCGATCTCCGCCCACCGATCATCTGATCACTCGCCGCAGTCTATACGTGGCGAGTGATTAGATAGCAGAGAGAGCGTAGTGTTGAAGAGGGCACAGCGATGAGTCGCATCAATGCTCAAATCAACGGGCAAGGAAGGGGTCCCATTTCTCGGGTTCTGGGCCGTTTCTCATGGTTCTTCCTTCTTTCGTGTACCACTCACCATCCCTAGGTTAATTTGAAATGGGTTGCTTTTTCAGCGTGAATTCGTCCTTTAAAACTCCAATTGGGCATAGATGTGTTGAGTGGAAGGCTGGAGCATACATAATTGTAGGAGCCATTCTACACATTTCCATAGTCTCTTCATTCACTTTAACCCTTTTAACCCTAGCGGTTGCCACTGCCAGCAAAAAATTCAGAGCTATGCATTACCAACGCGTTAACATATTTATACTACTCACTGCTAGAGGTGTCTTCAAACAGCCTTTTCCTTCCAAATTTCACTTTGCATCGCTATTGCCCCGCCATTCCTTCCCAACACAAAAAAATAGAAAAATTTTCTCATTAAATAATTCATGGCTGAACGAATTGATTCATCGTAAACTTTTCCTCAGTCTCAAAACCACAATTTTCACCGACATGACCCCCTCCGAAAACCTCAAAAAGTTGGCAAGTTATCATCAGACGATTATTACACTCGTAGCACAAGGAATGCATATGCTCAACCCGCTTTCGTTATGGAGAAGCATTCCCGGCCTAACGGGCGGATGGAACAAAAATGATGAGTTTTGTGAAGATTTGGCGCGCTCTATGTCTTTCCTTAAGCATTTCTAGACTTGATTGTGCATAATTTCCTCTCAACAAATTACCAGCTGCCTTTTTCACTTTATGACCTAATACTTATATTTTTATCCACATCCTGCATGATAGTTGGTTCGCATCACTCCTATGGATAGGTTGAGTCTTCGCGAAAGGCATCAAACCATTTATTTCATCATGACATCTGCACTACAAAAAATAAGGTTCCGCGATAAGGTGGAGGACGAGGAGAGGGGAAATATACCAGGTTGAAAAGCAGGCGTAGCATTTTGCAGCGAAGAGTATGCCCCAACAGCTTAACACGGCCATACCCGTGTCGCTCGCGCCGTCAGCCTCTAGCTATCAGAGAGAGCGGTAGCGTTGGAGAGAGCAGCATCGGTGAGAGTCGCATCAATGCGGAAATCATCCGGTGGAGGAAGGGCCCCATTTTCGCGGTTCTGGGCCATCATCCATAATCTTTCTACTTCTCCGCATCTCTGACCATATCTGCCTTGATCTCTAATAGGTTGCCTTTTTATCAACTTCGCATTTAAGACATTTTCCACCACGAAACTTGTGTGATTATTTTCCTCATAACTGAAGAAAGCAGAGGAGCAAAGTAAACCGCTGACACAAATCCTCTTGGTGCACACGCTTACGTGGTAGACAGACTATGCGACAGTCTGACGACAGACGCACATGTCGTGAGGGAGAAAAGACTTGGAACATGAGAGAGCAGGGCGGGAGGGGAGCGCGCAGATAGTCGCGCATGAACCGTTGCATGGTCAGCAGGAGGAGTGACGTACAGCGGCTGTCATGACGATGACATAGCGCCTTTGTCGCCTACTTCCAGCCTGCGAAAAAAACACACCTTTCACCTCTGTGTATAGCTCCATTCCACACAGCAAGATATTATCCTTTGTTCTATCGTGGTATGTGCCTTTAGGTATGCACATTTTAGCCAGTAATTGTTTTTTTTTCGCAAAGTCTTCTTAGAACGTCATGATGAGTGTTCAAAGATGAAAATGTAGTTTGAGGGGGCCGGTCATATCTAATCACATCCAGACACAGTCTCTGAATGTATGATTAGATAGGGATACCAACTCCGAGATTCCATACAAAATCGGATACCTGAAAGGTCCTTCTTCGAGGGCTCGCATGGCAGTCGCAAGAAGGGAAAGTGAAGAGCCAGCAAGGTAGCAGCCATTTTAGCCATAGAATAATATGACAAGGGTAACGTACTAGTCGTAGGCCACGGTCTCAGTGAAAGATGTGATAAGATATAAGTGCCTTCCCGTGGTGGTGAACTTTGATGTTTTGATCCACCTTATTGACAATTTTGGCTAATTTTTCTGATTCCAGGTACTCTCCAATGTCAATCAAAAAACGCCTGTATGTTGCCCGTGTCGGCAAAAGACGTTATTTGTATACGGCTCGTGTTGGAAAGTAGGATTTAACAACATTGAACTTAATAACAGCGAGAACGTGATTATGAAGATCCAACTGTGAATCAGACTTGGTTAACTTGGCAATGAATGTATTGTTACGTGTGACCTTTGTATTAATCTGTCGAAAGTGGAAATCGCACTGGACATAATGGCATAACAAAAGCTGATGGGCGGAGCCTGGATAGCCATGTGCTAATGGGAGTGCACTTTTGAGTGCTTGAGCGCGCTTTCATTGGTGGATAACCGTCTGCACACTGCTCATCACCTTGCAATGCCTTTAGCTTAACTACTACACTTACGTTTACAAAATATGGCACTTTTGATCAATTCAGCATCCAATCAGAAATTTATACTTTGTACTCTTTGTTACAAGAACACATCAACAAAAAAGCATATATTTATCTGGTAATTGCAAACAGGCAGGCATGGAAAATTCCTGTCGCGATCGCTTTCTATCGTCTTGTACCGTCTTCGAAGAAAATCCCACCGTCGATGGCGCAATACTTGGGGCAGATTCCTTTTTCTCCTGCACCTCCTGTTTTGCCAGGAAGACCTGGGGTGCCTGGATTGCCGTCTGAACCAGGCGCACCGGCTGGACCTGGTGCACCCTTGGGCCCTGCAGGTCCTGGGCCATATGATCTTCCATCAACTCCGTTGAGACCAGCAGGTCCAGGTGGTCCCGGAGGACCTGCCGGTCCTGGCTGTCCTGGTGACAATGGAGACTCACTGCCCGGAGCCCCAGGTGCACCTCCAGGACCTGGTTGACCGTCCCTTCCTCTTGGTCCAGGTAGTCCCTTGGGTCCGGGAGGGCCTGCAATGCCGGGAGGACTTGGAGTACCGTCATCTCCAGGTGCTCCTGCTGATCCTGGAGCCCCAACTGGTCCTGGTGGCCCTGGTGGCCCAGGTGGGCAAGGGGAGCATGGTGGTGGTGTGATTGCCTCACAAGGTGCATGAGGTGGCTTTCCGTGTAGTCCATTCAAACCAGCTGCTCCTGATTTGCCAGCTTTTCCTGGTTTTCCGGCTGGTCCAGGAACACCTGGTGGTCCACGGGCACAACAGCCTGCGCACTGGTCAACTTCGGGCTGAGCGCCGGCACCTGCACCAGCTGAATCTGTTGGATTGAAAGTTGGGGTAGCATAGCCTGCCTGTCGTTGTGCACGTGTGTCGTTGACAGATTTCAGTGTGTGTATCTCCGACCAAATGTCTTGTGCGGAAGCCTGTAAACGAATTTTTTTTACAAAGGTCAAATTAAAGAAACTTCAGAGCTGACCTTGCAGTAGCTGACATCCCTGTTGACGCGGATCTTGATGCTGCTCACGTACTCGGAGACCATCGGAAGTGTAACGCAGATGGAAAGCGCAGCGACAGCCGAGAACGCCAGTGTGGCGCAGCCGATGAAGCGATATGCCAAGATCTTATTGTCCAAACTCATTGCGACGCCGACAATCTGAGAACTTGTGTATTGAAATCTCATAAGTGATAATTACTTCTAAAATCTGGTGAAGAAACTGTCAAACGGTTGTGCTTCATAACTAATACTAGACGGAATAATCATAAGCATGAGCTGAGGCAGTGCAGTAAGCCAAACATCGAGGTATTTCACCATCATAAGTTACCACTATCACAAGTTACCGTTACAAGTTGGCTCAATTGTAAAACATTATGTGTTTCTGAGGAAAGTCTGTGTTTGAGGAGGGCTGAGTTGATTAATGGCGCACAACAGTTGGCTCTTGTTGAGCGGGACTAGATGTGAAGGAATGGTAGACCAGTGAACTCCTTCTGGCTCAGTGGGAAGGCCCGCTTATATAGAAGCACGTTCAGATAACATCTACACAGCTAGATATCTCCGAATCTCTTGAATATACAACTCTCAACTTAATTAACAGAACCAGAATCGTTTATCGGTGTTAGCCTAATAGCCACAACATCCCTTTACGATGCCTCTACACAGCGTAAAAAAGACGATAGAATCTGATAAAGGCATACTAGTACCTCACATGATCTGTGCGACAGTAGAACCAATTGAATATTCAAGGTCAAATCTGATATTTCACACACAGATCCATCAAAACTACAAATATAGTATATTTTCGTGTCAATTGCTTCGCTGCCCCGAACCGTATCCTTACCCTTGGTCACCTTTCCGTCTTGCCCGATCAGGAGAAGGTTGTATTTGATGGCCGTATTAGACCAGACAAGGAAATTGTAGACTTTTCGAGACGATAGAAAGTTTTCGATTGGTAACTGCTGTTTTGGCCGCAGTTCGCCTTGCGAATGTTTCACAAGAATGCTGGGTTGTGAACAAAACTTTCGCCCCAGGCGGGACTAGAACCCGCACCTCTCGCTTTCCGGGCAAGTGCGCTACCAGTTACGCTACCGGGGCACCATTTCAACCTGACACAGCTTTTGATAAAGTATCACCCTAACTCAGATTTTGTTAAGGTATCACTGTAACTCAGCTTTTGCCAAAGTTGGATCAGGGTGAAAACGGTGTCCCTGTAGTGTGACTTGTAGCGCAATCGCCCAGTATGCGAGAGATACGGGTTTGGCAAAGCTTTGTCCCAGCATTGTCCCCCCTATAACCCAGCATTAATTTGACATTTGGTTTGAAATTTCCAGAGGAACGTGAGAATTTGCGTTTTTTGCCGTTTGCCGTTTTTTTGCCGTTATGTATCCCCTCCATTTTTGGGACCATGTAGACAGAGTTGAGCTATTTTGTACTCACGAGTTCTTCAAATTTCTCGTTCTCGAACACTGTCGACACCACCATCCATCAGAGGTGAGGTGGGGTGGGGAAGATCACACAGAGACGACCAGAAACGACAAATAGAGGGAAGAAAGACTTCTCCTTTTTATACTTGAAATTGAATTAATGACAATTTCGTGCCCACCTTGCACTACCGTTCGCTGTGGTTTCGTCATGGTCCAACTTCCTGCTAATTCTCAGTTATTAGTAAGTTGAGGACAAAGTTTTTCACTCAAAATCCAAAACTTGTACATATTTTTAAAAAAAAGAAAACAAGCGCTCTCATCATTTTGTGTGGCCTAATGCCATCAATCTGCAAGGTTCCAGATGTTGCCGGAAAGGCATTTTTCTTGGCCACCTTTGGGCATACTTAATATTGTTGGATTATTTAAACCTGCGACTCTTCAAAAAAAGCTGCTCTGATAGGGAAACACTTCATTCGCCTTGCCCTCAAAGAGCTAATTTGTGAAATTTTCTATCAAGGAAAGTCGCTTCCACCAATAGCGAATCAAAACCTGAAGCTATCTCTCTCCGTCGTCATCATTCATCCAAGGAGTTAGTTGAAACTTGGTGCGCTTGAATAGCATTACCGTCTTATGGATTTACTTTGGCCGTTGTCGAGTGGTAAATATTGAATCCGCACTCTGTCTAGTGATTCTGAATCGGACATGGCGTTCCTGTAAGAGGGTAATTAAAACTTTTCTTTAGGAATGGGTGAATGAGAACTAGCCGGTCGCCCTGGTCTGCTAATTTTGCTCTTTCAACTGGAAAAAACCCAAAACAAGCAGTTGTCGAAAGTTGTCAAACAATGTCTCTTCCGTATCAAATGAGGAGCAACTGCTTAGTCACATAGTTTTTTCACTACAAGAATTCTGATGATTCACTTTCACCACTATGCTTGGATTACCGAGAGGAAAATGTAAATGATTCTTCTGGAATGAGGCTCATTTCAGGCCAAGCAGTTGTGTTGTACATCGGCAGAGTGAGAAAGCCTTTAGGTAGGAATTTCTACATAGAACAAAAATCCACATCACTGCTCCTAAAGCTCAAAAGGATGACCGAAGACTTTCTCAGGTGAAAGCGGTGAGTTATCGTTGACTCCTGCTTTCTAAAGGAATATCATCTTCTCATCTGCCAGATCACATTGTCTTTGAGTGGAGGAGTTGAACACAGAAAAACTTGAACTCCCAAAGATGAAGATATTTATAATTGATCTCACGTTCAAGGAATTCCAAAAGTGTGGCATTTATAGGATTGAAAAATGTCACGATGCTGAGGAATAAAGATTTAAAGTGAAAAGAAAACACAAGGTGATAAGCTAATTGAAATGACCTTCGAAATGGATGCCAGTGAAAAACGGCAGACCTTTTTCCGTAATGGAATCCTCTTGAATGAAGTGATGCGTTCCTGATTCCACTTCAGAACACATTGACTGTAGCACATGCATATTTTCCAAGAAGCGAATCTTATTTATTTATTTATTTATTTCTATACGTACAGTAAACGCGCTTGGACAGAGCATATTCGAATAGAAATACTATCAGACGCTAAAAGGCGGGTACTCCCCAGGAGGCCCGTCGCGTAGCAAGAAGGCAGAGTCGGCGGACGAGTTGCAGCGCGTGGTGTGCGATGTAGGACGTGCAGTGGGACACTCTATTTAACTTGACGCGAAATCCCTATAGTACGCGCGCGACTCGTCGTGACCTTTGCCTTCCTGCTGCGCGACGACGGGCCCTGCCAGGAACCCTAAAAAGCAAGCAGTCCCTGCTCCCTCGGTTCTTGAGGACGGATGTGAGGAAAGGGGGACGTGTGAGAAAAGCGCACAGTGGAATCAATCAGAATTCGTGCACGTTCACACTTCGGCTATTGACTATTCCGGAAAGTCTGAGCGATTTAAAAGTGAAGGCAGGGGTTTTCTTGAGATTAAGCTGCTGGTATTTCAAACAGTGCCCTCTCTCTCAATGAACAAAATAGTAGAAAATGCTCTCTGGTATTCTAACGTGCTGTAATTCCGTTCTGTTCAATAAAATTGCCTCTACATACTGCAGCAATTCACACTAGTGAAGGTGGGCAAAAGTTACGGTAACAAGGTAAAGTGATCATGGTCATTAAATTGGTCATGGAACGCCAATGCTGTTAGAAAGGCACAAGTGTGCAACAGCAGTATGTATGGGAATGTCATGCTGGGAATTATCAATTGAAACATCACATTACCTCTCGAACTGGACTGCTGTCTGGTTATACATGAGCAAAGACATACCAAGACGCATGTGACCATAGTAAGGCCGATTTCAGAAGTTGCGAATCGAGCGATTCGCTGTACGCGACGCAACCGCGGACGCTAGCGAATCGCGCATTTCATCCATTTCCGCAATAGTCTGGCATCGCTTAAAAAGTGCCTCGTTAGGAGGAGGTGAATCCCATTTTCTAAAGGCGCTCTTTCCATCGTGTCATGATGAATAATTGTTGGCCCCACGATGACATCGAATAACCGCCTCAGAAAACCCAATGTTTGGGAGTTGAGGAGCAATGTCCTTTCACCTAGCATGGTCATAGAATAAAATAAACCGCGGAAGAAATTTTGCTGTTTAACTCGCTTGCGACGGGTGACTCTATACTTTTGGAACAGGGGTAAAATTCGAGTTTTCTAGCGAAATTATTTCCAGCTCATATGGTTTTTGCAAATAAAGTGTACTGTAGCTTCAGGGTATGCCAAATTCGATAAAGTATGTAGGTTGCAAGCCATAATTCTTTCACCCTTTCGGAACAGCTGTCTTCAGAGGTGTTTTTGTATATTTGAAATGCACTACAGGTTGCTACTTATTCATCTTTACAAGTATTAAAAAATTATGCTGCACCAATTTTTCACAGTCCTGACTTTGTGAGTGGACGCCCTATCTTACTGGGAAGTCATGTCGTTTCTTCTAAAAATCCTCCAGGCCTACCCGGTTCATTCTGTACCTTATCACTCCTACACTGGTAAATGTTTCCAAGCTGCACTCACACTTACCGTAATCTCTCGCTTTGAGTTTTTGAGCCGTTACCGCAATTTTTGTCTATACAGAGAAAATTCACTAGAACCTTCTGAAAGACTGTTTGCGATTTGTTTTGAGCTACATATTTCTCACACTGCAGTCCGCGATGCACATACTGACAGGGCTTCTGGGTGTGGGCAAAGCACTTCGCCCCAGGCAGAAACCAAACCGCACTTTACCCTTTCGGGCGTTTTTCTAGCGATGACACCAGCAGGGCACTGCTTGATTTTGGTCCAGCTATGAGCGCATATTTACCATAGCTTATCACTACACATGTACTTTCATCGGTTCCAGACTGAAAACGTCAGTCGAGGAGCCGTTCATATACAACTATTGAAACGGTAAAAAATGGCTAAAATTGTCTCGACATGCAGAAATTATTCGTGTTTGCGAAATCTCTCCTGGCTTTGTAGAATATCCCTAGATCTCGAAAAAAAATTCTGTTCTCAAAATATAATCCGTAATTCGTAAATACGGCCCCTCCTTCGGAAAATCAAAACGACCCTTTCAAGAATAGAGCTACACATTCTCGTTGGCGGCATCTGTTATTGTTGTAGCAGGCAGAGCATACAAGTGCACCAGCAATGCAGGAACATACATATTTGAAAATATTGCTTGTGTAATGGACGAGAGTGATGTGAAAACGCATCT